ATCACGAGCAACCACGGCTGGGCCGAGAACGAGAAGGTGGATTTGTGACTGCGAGACGTCTGTCTCCTGAAACTCCACAACGTCGTGATTTTGTCCCAGGTAGTACCTCCAATCAGCCACGCTGTCTCATCGTCACCATCCTTAATTCTGAACACATTCTGAGTGCCTGTCTCCATCTCGAATGAAACGGAAGTGCCGAGATCCCACCCCATGAAAATGTTGCCCTAGGACCCAAGGAGAGGGAACGGTGTGGTGATCAGAGAGCCTTAGATAACGAGATAGGAGCGACCCCATCCAAGTGTGTTTCGCTGACGACGATCGACAACGGGGTACATAATGGGATTTTCAATGACACGCATGCTCATGAGCGGGTTGTTGTACATACCGTTACACTCCGTGCGACCTTGCCATCAAAGATCGAGGTGGAAAGAGAAGTGGCCGCTGAAGCCTCCTGTCCTCAATGCCACCATCACAATCCAACGTTTTTCTGTTTCGCCAGCCATGTGCCGAAGGGCCGAGCCTTGCTGGGCTGAGCTATGTGCTATGGCTGAGACAAAATCGCACAACATCAAGCGGCTTGAGTCGCACCACAGCGAAACGAGATATCCTCGGGTTGAGGACTAATGCCCGGACAAAAGCAAACCAGCAGAATGAATGGCAAAACTGGGCCCTTCGGTTAACCTCCTGCGCGACCACAATGATGCTGGCACGCCTCTGCAGGCTTCAGATGCGTTCCATTACCCGCAGGTGAGGTACCGAAGCAAAATGCGAGGCGAGCCACTCAGATCATACTCTCCCCTGAGTGACGCATCCCGGGGGGATAAGTGTCCTGTGGCAGTCAATGCATCAAAGGCATCGGAGCAGTCCCGAGGCCTTTCTTCCACGGCGACCCGCCGGAATGTGATTGCTCCAGAGACTGGACGCCTGGAATCATCGGGGGTACCATTTCCGAGCATAGTTAGCATCGTCGACACCACATGGAGAAGTAACGACTTCATCTGCCCGGTGAGTTTGGTAACACGGTCGGAATAAGGAGGCGAAAAGCGGCGCTCCTCGCTTGCGTTTCCTAGCTGCAACTTATACCTGCAAACTCGTAAACGAGGTTCCGTTACCCGATAATAGCTTCCCTGACTCCCTGAGTACCTTTTTTCCTGGATGGCCAAAATAATGAACGGACCGACGGTCTGGGGCGCCTTGAGCCGCCACTTGGCCGCAGTAAGTCAGCCACAGGCCGCTGTGACGCGCCCGAAGTGACCGGAACCTTTCGCCTCTGCAACTAGCATGCCTAGCGTAATAGCTGCTATAGCTCAGTTAATGCGCGCACCTTGGCTCTACACGACTTAAGTGGCATATGAGTACTAGATCTGACGTTGACCTGATTGCTGGAGTGGCACCGTAGCAAGTTCTGGGTGCCGAAGGACGTTGACGTTGCTTTAGAGGTCTCAGACACGCTTCTCAACCACTTTAGCACGGTGAAAAAGCTGTAAGACAGCATTTGTAGCTTCTTCTCGGCATACTTATGGCTTTAGGAATGAGGCGGTGTAGACTTCATCATTTGTTATTCTTTGAGTTACGAATCTATGACCTCGTAGTCTTGTAGATTGGGGACTTTTTCACATATCGATGGTGTGCTTCAGGAAGTTGCTGTTGACCCCTTTCAACTCCCCACGGACTAGTCATGAGCGCACATCCTCACTGGTAAATGTCACACTGGAAAGTCTGTTAAGCCTAGTCAATATGCTTGACATACTTCATGTTGCAGTATTGGCAAGCTTAGATTACCACTGGCCGCCAACAGGACAGCTCAAATCAAGATAAAAAATGACAGATCTCACGGAGCACAAGGCTTGAATCTCAGCCCTATCAGGTCGGAATTATTGAAAGCCACACTCGACTCTTAGCGATGCTGGTAGACAAAGGAGATGAAAGGCAATCGCTGGAAAGTAGAGACTATTACAACACTACGAATAGCTCCGAAAACCAATCCGCTTCTCGTCCCTCGTTCAGCCAACGTCAAGATCATCCTTTTGCTGGCGAGATTCTCATCTCGCTAAGGCACAATCATCTTCTTACAAAGCGTCACTCTTAATCGTCAGTCATAGAGCCGTATTGATGAATAAGACAGCGGGCTTGACCGGTCTCTGACGATGCCATGGTAGACATGGTGCTGACGCCAGCCTTCTCGCAGCGCTCATCTTCTTGCCGTCTCGGGTGCACCCAGTACCAAAACTATTGCACACCTTCACCCCAAAAAGGCAATGTCTCGGGAGGAAGACGGTAGGATCGCGCCGGCCCTGGGTCGGCACCTCACGGTCAAAAGTTCGGTCAGCGTTCTCACGGCTATTGACGTGACATTCCTTCCACACGAATGCAACCTCATCACGCGCGATCGCGATTGCGGGAGGAGAGTCGCAACGCAGACAGACAACTTCAGTGAGTGGTTTGCTCATCTCGCTCGGTCGCGATAGAATGGTCATCATATAACCCTCAATCTCGCCCATGGCTCATGAGATATCTTGGCTTTCCTCACTCTCATTTCCCGAAGCAGACGGCGTTCGTCCGCTCAGACGTGGCCTCCACCGGATTGGCTTTCTCCAAGCACACGGACACTCGGGCACTTTTAGCGCTGGGGTTGTGATGCTGGGACTTTGCGAAGCTCTGGACCTCGCTGCAGAATGCCACTAGGTAGCCCTGCAATTGCTCTCGCTCGGACGCTCATTGTTTCCCACCTTGCCCCTTACGAGCGATGATCCTCGCTGCTAAGATCCTAATAGCGATCCTAAGGGTCCTGTCACCGGCATTGGCAAGCTGGCATCCGAGCGCTGAAAATTTTTCTACAGAAGGGCAATCGATAATCACTGACGATGCAGCCCGCGACACACAAGTCTCACGCCAGCCAGGGGCAAGTCGACGGCGATGGGTGGTCGGGAAGTGGAAGAGAACTTCCGGTCCACCCAAGCAAGGCACCCCGTTGTCTTCCCCATTGACTGGAGAAACTACTGCCGGCCGTTATACTGCCGAGTTGGCTGCCGATGGCTGATCATTCTCAACGGTGATTCGGACACTGCCGCCTTAGCGACACGAACTCGAATCACAGCGCTGGGACGAGACAGGTGAGGCACCAGCTGTCTAGTCCTGTCTCTTGCATGCCCTTCTCCATCGTCAAGGATGGCCCTGATCTGGTGCAGGGCTTTACTTCGTATTGTCAGGCATCAACGGCGCTGCGATGGGTCTGTCTCGTCCTGTTTCCTGCCTCTTCACGGGAACTATTGAATCCTGATGTTTCGGTCGGAAGCACAGCATACTGCTTCCCGGCCTCTCAAATTCTACCGAAAAGCTTCTCTCAAGTGAGAGACTTACACACGCCCCTTTCTTGCCTTCCGGTCGGTCACACCGCTTCCTATAGAATGACTCCCATGCAGCCGTCACCTGCATTGGTTCTGCCGAGCTTGCTTCGACCGCACAGACGGCAAGGCTGAAATCGTGAGATGTGGTTTGTCTGAGGCTCGTCCAGCGCCGCCTCCGCCCAATAGGTAACGTGCGGGGACCGAGACGTTTCTTTCTCTCCTTTTGTTTGCCGCATCGAGCTTGGTCTGCCGTTTGACGAACGAGAGGTGCAGGCACGCCAGGGCACAGACTGTGGGCAGTTCCACCATTGGTCCGAGTTGTACCGGCCGGTCTGCATGGGCTACATTTAACGTTATGCATTGAATGCACGGAGCTTGGGCGGCATTGCGGACTGCGACCAAACGCGTAAAACTTGGCCCTGCAGGACGCGTGTGCTTGCGAGAGAGCCTGGTACACGATTATATGCTGTCGTAAAAAGCCAATGTTTATGAATGCCTGTCGGCTGTGACATGCCAAACTTGTTGCAGCTTGTATAATACTTAAATGTATTGTAGTAGCTTCATGTATTGGTGTTACTTGCCCATCATACCACGGTAAAGGGGATCATATGGGCATGTCCGATTATTAGTTATCACCATGAGTTGAATTTGTCTCTTCATATTGATTGGGGTTTCACATTGAAGTATCACATATTATAGTAGGTATGGCTATCATGAAAAGACGATACGATCGACTATGGTTCACGATCAGATATTCACGTGAGATACAGCTGGCACAAGAAAGCTATTCATACTCAAGGCGCCGAAAGACTTAATAAAGCTGCTTCTAATTCGGAGTGATGCCAGTCTAATCTCCTACTTGATATCGAGAAATCAAACTATAGCAATTAGAGAATCTGGGAACTCTCCTTTCGCGCAATTGGGTCTCTAACCCATGATCGATCGAGGTAGTGACTGGTGCCAATGACAAACTACGAAGCCTATATGTAAAGAATGACCTCATGAAGACTGAATCGACTGCATGTGTGTGAAGAAGCAAAATCAGCATCTTGGGCTGTCTCCCAGAGAGCTTTCCGTTGAGTGGGATATGTGGGTTCGAACGTGAACACCCCTTTCAGACCTTAAGGATGGTATATCAGGACTATCCCCTCGGGCAACATCACCGTCCTCTGGCACCCAAATCCTCGTCTGTACGAATTCGTTATTCCCTTGGTCGTCCCACTGCGAATTGGCGCTTCTTTCGCCAATATGGCTGAAAGTTGGTAGTGGTTCCGTGATAGGCGGTCTTAACATGTTCAAACTTGCTGGGGCTGCCTCCAGATCAGTTGCTGCCGTCTTCTTCCTCCAAAATGTCGGAAATCTGATAGGATACTGAAGAGCGAGGCCGGTCCGGAAGATCCAGGGGTTGCGGTGTGGTAACTCAGTCTTCGGCTCCCTTAGGTTGGTCGATGTTCCCGCCAATCCACTCGCCACCGGTGTGATCGAGTCCGTATGAGAGGGGCAGGCGGTAGGTCGAGCAACTTCGAGGGAATTGAGACCGTGCCCATCATCTGTTGCTGTGTAATGACTTACAACAGCGACGGACGAGCCTTTGGTATACGAGTTGCTGGCAAATGTTAGCTTAATCAGACTTTCTTAGTACGGACAAGGAGATTACTTGACATACTCGGAGCTGCGGTTTGCCCATGATCGCGAACCAGACTGTATACCGCGGTTGCGACTCTCTGATGGGAACCACTCCTCATTGAGTTTCGGGAAGATCTTGCCAAGTCCGACAAATCTCAGGTATCGTCGGTATGTGTCATGTGCCTCCTTAGTCCTTCCGAAGAAGACGAAGAAAACAACGGCCGTAAGGAATACGACGATCCATAAGTACATGTCCAAAGAGTTGACAAAGGCGGAAGGGGTGAACGAGATGATATCCCATGCTGGCCCATGAAGTTGTGAGAAATTGTAAGGCAGGTTCCAAGGCCATCCAACCGCTATATTCTGGCCGGCAAACGCCAGCTGGAGCGGAGTGTAAGGAATGACGATGCAGAGAGCCATGAAGTACAACTTTCGCTTGGTTCTCGCGCTTCGGCTCTGCGCGTTGGAGTTACAGGTATTCCACACAGCCTCTCGAGTTGCCCGGTCCACCTTTCTGTAGCGGTAGTAAACCACAACTTGTCCGGTATGTTAGCTTGTTTCCTTTAGATACATTAGGGAGTGTACTTACCGGCGAAGACGGCTGCCAGAAATGCAAATATCGGAGCAGGAAGGAGAAAGAACACCAGGAACATCCAGTTGGGATAGTATACACCAAGAGCCGAGCAACCGATGACAGCCGAGATATCATATCGTTTGATTTGCACGAAGTACGTCAAAATAACCTGTAAGAGTGGTACAGGGAAGAGAATCAAGGACTGAAAGATAAACTTCCTGCGCTTCTCGCTGCTGGTCAAGCCAGTTACCCTATTCAGGGCCACTTGGCTGGCGAGGTTGTTCATGATGCAGAAGACGGAGGCCGCGTATAGAGTCTGAAGGGGCATGACAGTATAAATCTGCAGATCACACCAGCCATAGCCTCGAAACCAGTGCTCTATGTCGTCGTTGTGCCATATCAGAGGGTTGACTGCATCGCGGAGATTGAGGATGATGACAACGATGGCTAGTGTTGTGCCAGCGAGCTCGCGATTCTTCCACAGGAGTCTCATAGGTACCCAGCATGCACCAACAGCTATGAAGCTGAATATGACTCGGATGATTACGTTCACGAGTAGACTGGTGTTCGTGGACCCATTGCCGCTCTCATCCATGGGGCTCATGGTGGAGTTTGTTGCGTCCATATTGGAAATCCAAAGTAAAGGAGTAATGTCGATTGTAAGGACTCAACTATCCGTGAGGATCAAAGCCGTGTTCAATTCACCTGGTCGAGGTCTTGGGTCGATCGTCGAGAGAGATGTGCAGTGTATTAGACACAAGAGCTGCCATATAACCTCTTCGTGAGGATATCGTAGAGAGCAATTTGGTCACAGAAGAGCCCGGCTGTCTCCAACTCTTTAGTCAAAGGGTATCTTGGAAAAGAAAAGTTTCAATTCCCGTCTTTTGATATAGAAAAGGGGGAGAGATGGGGGCTTCCGGTAACCCGCCACCCAAAGGAGGCAAAGCCATGGTCGAACTGGGGATGTTATTCAGGAGAACAAAAGGCAAAACCGGGTCCGCTGAACCCGGAACACATGAGCAATACAGTAAGACAAAAGAGAGAGTTGAGTTGAGTTTGGGTGGTAGCCTGGCTATTGGCTAGTAGACGTCTATGGCTTCTATTCAGAGGTCTTATTCAGGACACAATTAGGTCTAGCGTCCTATCCAAGGGGACGGCCACCAAACCTTCGCCTCACCAACAGTGGCCGTCAACCCTATAAAAACGACCACTCGTTCAGATATATGACGATCATTTAGGAGGAACTGTATTTCTTGCGTTTAAGGATGTGGTCCTGAACGCCATCGAGTCTATAGTGCGCAATTCACTACCATGGGAGGTTCAAATGTACTTGGAGTCGCGCACTCCGAGCCTGTCCCTCCCTAGTGGACGCCTCCGGTTGAGCAATGGATAGTATCGAAAATTTATCCCTTTCTAATTACTCTATTCAATCAAGAGCACATCAAAAATGATCATAGCCTGGATTTGAGTACTCCTGTGTGTCAATTAGGCGATGCAAAGGGGAAGAATTATCGACACTTACACACGCAAGGAGACATTTAGCATGTACCCAAGAGGCACCGTGCACGGACCACCCGCTCCTTTCCCGGTCGCCTAGTACCGTCGCGTCAATCGCACACTGCGGTGCCGTGGCGCGCTCGACATCCCGTATCTGTTTAATTGAACCAACTTGCATCATTGCTCAACTCGATCAGTCACCCACAGCCTCCCGCCTACTCCCAATCCGTGCCTAAATAACATACTCAATTCATCAAGAAGAATGTCTTCCTTCCTTGCTCGCCGCGCCGGCATCAGCGCCCCGCGCGCCATCCGCGCATTCAGCACGACACCCGTTCGCCCTGTCGCCAAGATCACCATCGTGGGCAATCTTGCAGACACCCCCGAGCTGCAGGCCACCAGCACCGGTCGTGAGATTCTCAAGTATGCCGTCGCCTCCAACAGCGGCACCAAGGACAATCGTCAGACGAGCTGGTTCCGCGTCACTAGCTTCGAGGCTGAAGGCCCGCGCCGCGATTTTCTCCAGAGCTTACCAAAGGGGTACGTCTATGTCATCTTCTTGGGGGGGTTGGGCATGCAAAGAGCGAGCTGCGCAGGATGGGATATATCGATTGCTTGATTGTAAGAGTCATTGCTGACATATAACTGGTTCAGGTCCCTGGTCTACGTCGAGGGTGACGCCACCATGTCCACATACCAAGATGCTGAGGGCAAGACGAGAAGTGCCCTGAACGTCGTCCAGCGTACGTAGTCAATCACTCATTGCAGCTATACATGTAACTTACCAATAATAGGAAGCATTGAGGTCCTCAGACGTCCTCAATCGCAGGGCGACTCTGATTCTGCTTGAGCAACGATAGATAGCGGTAGCCAAAGGAATGACGGGCACTCATGGGCATGGGAATGTACATTGCTCATGTAGACTGATGTTGTAGTCTCCACTCCGGATTGCAGTCTTTTGTTGGGTCGGAAGATAATTGATTGCGCCGTCTGTACAGAAGTCTCCTTACTTAATCTGATACCATCTCACTAAGAACTGCTGCACTTCTCGCATAAGTGCCCACCAGTAAACAATTCCATGCTTATCAATACCTAAACCCGTCCTTGGACCACATTAGTGACTATTGATGTCCCTGCTGCATAGGGTACAGTGTGATTGACCAGTTTGAAGGTTCAACAAATGTGTAAGAACCGTCTTCTGGCCTGTAGCTCCCACACTGGCGCTTCCTGCCATAGCCTTGTTCCGAAGACCATCACTTCGACCTAGAGACAATAACCACTAAAATTATCGCAAGTAAAGGCAAGACGCTGAGAACGCTAAGTCCGTGACTGCACTAATAGAGACAACGTCCACCTTTCGAGGAATTGCATCTTAAAAGCAGCACGTATCTCGTGAATCCCAGATGCCTCAGTCCGTCCACAACAGCTGCCACATGAATCCTATCAAACTCCCGCTAATTTGCCTCTGCGTCGTTTCAATCTCCTCGACCATATTCGCAAGGTCCTGCTTGGCCTTGCAGATTCCTTGGCAAACGGTACAGGGAGATTGAGGAGCGTTCCGATGTACCTCATCTTCTTCCCAGTGCAGCTTGGCAAATTGGATCTATCACTTCGTTCGCACTTCGAAGCTTCGAAACAAGCCTCACTTGTTGGCGGTATGCATTCAGGTAGTAGGCGCGAAGCATAGCCCGGCGTCGTAAAGACCCGATTCTGCCATGTTTGTAACGCGAGGTGTGTCCGAAAGCTACTTGTGTAAAGGAATTAGGCTATTGTTTTTGATTATTGAGTGATGTAAAATACTGTTATTTGACTATGCCGAGATGAATCAATGAAGTTGAATATTCCGAGCCGTACGAAAAAGGGGAATCGGGAATAGAAGTGCTGACGGTTATCTGCAATTGACATGTCGTCTGGGCAGCATATTTTAAACCTGAAAATTTTACTAAGGTAGTACGGAAATTGCTTTTCAAGGTCTATTATGCAAGGTCTAGTTATTCAACTAGGAAGGAGCAAGACACTGACTGCAAGCAAGGCTAGGCACGACTAAGCAGTAACATTGCACAACTGGATGAGCACACTATGCCCAGGTCAAACCAAGGCGAGCCCTCTGGTTAGATGCACCGAAATACAATATGATTGCATGGCTATCTCTTTTTGTTCACAGATCGAGTCGCTCTTCGTTGAAATGAAAAAGGGTTACAATCCACCGTATTTCAAGAGTAATTGCTTAGACAAGCGTACACGAATCCATGCAACCGAAGCCTGCCGCTACGCCTCCTTCCTCGCTCTGATCGCCTTTTGTCCGCAAGAGGTAGCCTGCCTGCTCATTGTGTAGAATGTCTCCAGTGTTTTGATTCCAGACGCATGTACCATATATGCCCAACTCACAGATGACGCCGCCTTGCTCGAGATTGCCATTCCGTAGGATGAGATTCGCAACCGGAGGCGGTGTGATTAGCTCCATTAGAATATATGAATTCCAGTGAGATTCCGGTAGAGATTGTAAATAAGGGGGTATGGATGCCTTGTAGAAGTTGTTGCCGCCACCTTCCCGTTGCGGTTTGAGGACATATTTCTGGCAAGCCTCGGGGTCCAGCGCTAATTTACGTGCCTCTTGGCCGGGCTCACTATCATCCATGGGATAAATGTTGGTGAATGTCTCCCACAGCTGCTGCCAGGCCTCTGTTTCCTCGGGTATGAAACGGCCCAGTTCAGAAGGCGCAGAGGACGGCTTCGGAGTCGCTAGGATTTGTTGCACCTTTTTCGCCCCGGCCAACTGCGTCAATACTGTAGGGCATTTAATTGCATTGGAGCGCTCGAGGTGATACCGTGCATCCCAAGCCGTCTGGTCTGGGTAATCTGATGGGCCGTATCCAGATCGCATGTACACTACTGATACTTCGAACTCTTTGTCTGGGTTGCTCGGTAGGCGATAAACGAGTTGTCTTTTTGGAGTATCGGCTATCCTCGTTCGTTGGAGAATCTCTGCAAAAGGAAGTCGAAACACCGGGATCAATGGCGAAGATGATTTCAGTTCATACTCGAGATGGCGTTGATCAAAGACATTTCTCTCGCCTCCTTGAATCAAGAAGATGACGCAGCGGTCCAATCCAAGCTCGGAATCTGAATAGGCTTTGAAGGCTGCTTTCAGACCGGCTGCAAGTCCTCTTACACTTTCATTTTGAGGCAAAGAATAGCTTGTCTGAGTGCTGCCTTCTTTCAAGTAAGGATACTCAGTGTTCGCAAGGAATCTGGAAGTGTAAGCCTTTGTGTCGGAGACTTCGGAATCAGCATGTCGTAGGCGTCGCTTACTTATGCAGACCTGATGTCTGGGAGGAGAGGCCTCCGAATGACGATGCGATGGTGTTGAATTCAACCTGTTTGATTTTTGGGCTCGCCTCCTTTGTTGATACGTCTTGGTGAACCATATAATCCGACCTGAAAAGCCCAAGTGATAAAGCCTGACCCGTTTAGCTAAGAAGCATTGATTCAAGCAAGCGGAAACGCGACACACATACCTGAACATATCCCTCCTCCTTAACTCGGAGATGGACCTTCCAGAGATTTGCAATAAATTCATCACCTCCAGCTACCCTACAGTATATTAGCATGCATCCGCTCTGTAACGACTCGAGAATGCCCTAGACAATGGCGCGACATTGTCTAAAGATGGTTTCAATACATACTCTTCGACAACGTGGCTGAGAAAAGCCTCATCTTGACTTATTTTCGAGTAAAGTTCGTTATATGACTTCTGGACTGACTCGGCTTGCTCAAAACACACTCGTGGGAAAGGACTAGGAAACAGGGTGACTGGAGCATTGATGGCCAAGATGCCATTAGGATCAGCTTCAGCCGAAGCAATCGATGGCGGCGGCCGAACGGCAAGGCCATTAGCAATTGACCAGTCCTTGATAGCCTCGACCAATCTCTCACGCTCGTCCGCGTCAACATTCGGGGGATAAGCGCCCGCGAAGGGGCTAGCCGAACCCATGATGGGGCTTGATTTATAGAATTCCTCTAGTCCTCGAGCGTTGACGAGCTGCCAGATTTATAATCACGCATATGCTTCTTTTTCTGAGCCACAGCGCAGTCGATGCTACAAAACACTCAGAGATAGCTGTGCGAATCGCTACCGATGTCGGTACTCCTCAAATGATGGTGATGTCTTGACTGTTTGACCTGCTCGGAATTGGGTATATACAAAATTTATTCTTGGATCGTAAACGGCCACGCCGTACGAGAGTTCAAGATATGGCAGATGTTGGTCAACTTCAGTGGTTTAGTAGGGATTTCGTCGATGGAGGAGGTATATTGGTTTTCTACTTAAAATGACGGGATGTCGTCTTAGGAATTAGTAATACTTTTTTTAGATCGGTAGGTAGGAGAGTAGTCAATATTTTAGGGCGTGAGACTTTCTTCCTCACATCGGCATGAATTGCTAAATAGCGTTTCGCCTGGCGCGGGTGCTTGCCAATTCAATTTCCTCTAGCGGATTAGGATAGTACCATAAAGATCTTGGTAAGTTGTAAAGTTAGATACCTAGGCATTTCGAACTAAGATGTTATCTTGTAGTGGTTTTTTTTCATGCCAATCTACCTAACTAGATATTACATTATACCTTTTTCAAGATGCTCTGCGCTCCTTGAGGGAATCTCTGGTTGCGGCTACATGTGTGAATCTACACAAGCTTTCTTTGTAGTGAAATCACCTCACCCAAGAATACCAGGCTGGCTTCCTGTGCATTCGCTAAACTATAGGCAGCAAGCCACCCCCACATTTGATCTGCCTTTAAGGTTAGGGAAGTCGGTTTTCCCCCCTTATGCACTGCCACAGGCATCACAACCAACACCTGCAATTACCTAACTGGTGTTGGCTGCCTGGTGTTTTTACTCACGGCCGCACCTGCCCACCGCGTCTCAGCATCTCACCTACATGCGCTCGACTGTCCACCTGGAAACGCGCACTGAGGGAGACAGCTTTTGTAAATAGCAACTACGACATTCACGTCTTCCCTTCTGTCACATCTTCCCTTGTTTACACTTCCTTCTGAAGCTGGTATCTGTCCGAGCTCTTTTACTTTCTATCATCATCCTTCTCATAACGTTCCCGTCTTTCATCGACATCACGTATCATCTCAAGATCTCTGTCGTGCGGCTCCACCATCCACCTCATCCTCCGCCGAGATCATAACCTCATCACATTGTCTCCAGCATCAAACAAGGTTGTCATCTCTCTTGGTGATTCCATGCAAGCGGCGCTTGTCATTCACTTTACCCCTCGACTTGACCGTTTGGTTTTCTCGCGCTAGCTAGCCCGGTCCTGTCTCATCGCCCATGGGTCACACTTGTTCTGCCTCCACACTGTTCTGCTCGTTTGCAAGCTTGATGCTGTAAGTACTCTCTTTTCTTATATTTATCTATCTTTTTCCCGATCACCACCTTAATCGTTACTGTCGCCTGCCTGGTTCACACCTAACATGTGGTCGAGTTTCGTCCTTTATGTTGAAGCCTTCGTCTCATCCGAGGATCATTATCAAGTATCCTGAAGCGTCTAAACAACCGAGAAATGCATTGTCAAGTCACGTCATAATCTCAATTGACCATCCGACTAATTCTGACTTTCACGTCTAGACTTTCAGGCGATCTCCATTCAAAATGCCCGGGGAAGTAGTGGACGACGATCCTTTTGACTGGGACGTGGATCGTGTAATCAAGGAGCTGTGCTCTTCAGACCGGACATGGGATGCGCCTCCGGCCTCTAAGCTGCCAGATCCTGTCAAACTCTCCCAGCAGCTCATTGATCATGACATCGACGGGGAAACTCTCCTTGGCTGGGGAGATTCTGATAACTCACTGCAACGTCTGTGCATTGCATTAGGCGTCTCTAAGATCCGCCATCAACACTCTATCATCCAAGCAATCAAATTCTTCAGAACTCGCAGTCCCCGCTGGAAGAAATCGACAACTTTGGATCCTCAGCAAGATTCAGATGTTGAGATGACCGAGAAACACTGTTCTGTCTCCAAATCTCCCAGTTTGGGCAATGGAGATAGCCGAATCTTGGCAGTTATCAAAGACGAAACTTACCGTTTGTCCACCCTACAGAAGGAGACCGGTGGAAGCGTCATAAATGAGAAATCTGAGGAAGGTCTCCCGAAGAAGAGGAAACGAATCGCTCCTATCAACACCTCGACGCTGGCAACAGGAATAGGCTCAAAGACCTTTCCGACCGAAGCTGACCAATGGATTGACAAGAGACCCGGCAATACGAGTATTACGGGCCTCCGGCATCTCGGTGCCCAGGGTGAATTTCTGGGTTCTGGAAAGCTCTCCGCAGCGGATGTTCTGCATCCTGATCCTGATGGGTCGGACCCCGATGTCAAAGACCGTGATTTCTCCTGGATCCTGACCGGCTTCATTCCACCGGCACGACGTGTGCAAGTGAACCATATCATGAAGCGACACCTTCGTCACAATGCCCTTTCATTTGGGAAAGCCGACGGCCTTCATTTGGATGATGATGATGATGACGATGAGATTCTCCCAGCATTTGGAGAATCGGGCGACGAGAACGAATATGACGAAGAGACCTGGCGAGAAATCCAGGAAGAAGCCTCAGAACAGAACGAGCACGTCGCAGGTTCCAAATATCAATATCTCAACTCTGAAGAGGTTGACGCGATAGTTCAGCAGGCGATCGAGGATCTCAAGTCCACTTGGCTTGAAGTCAAGTTACCCCGATACAAGAAAAAGGCGTATAAGATGTGGATGGATGCCCGTCAGCATGGGAGCCGCGGGCATCAGATAACCTTTGCCAACGAACGCGTACATGACCTCGAACTTCGAATCGCAAATCTCTGTAAACATATATATGAACAGAAGTGGGCGAGAGCCGACCAACTCGAGCTTCAGCGACAAACAGCATGTTTGGAGCAGAGCGTCTTTGAGAGGGAGCATTCCGCGTGGATCATTCGCGTTCTAAACAGTCCGACTGCACCAGAGAAGCCAGCACAGCCCGCAAGACTTACTACTGTCCGACAGTCTAAACCACCGAAAGTGCGAAAGAGTGGCAACGGGGATGAAGAATTATTGACCAGTGCTTCAGAGGATGACCTAGATGATTTCGTCGTGGATGATCAGGCACAGGACTTTGATCCTGATCCCTTCATTGTGTCAAGCAAGCAGACTATTGTTTCGAAGCATACCAATAACACTGTATCGTCTGAGGATCGACAATATGCACCGATTGCCCGAGGCATGGTGACCGGGAATAGTCAAACTGGGGACGACACTGAGATGCTTGACTTGACAAACAACGACGAGCCGCCTGACTATGCCGATGTCGCAACTATTGCAGAGATGGGAACCAAGCATTGGCAACTTGTAGGCGATAACGAGCGCCAAATCATTGCTGTTCTTTACAACTCAGCACCTGAACGTCGCAGAACAATCCTACGGTACGCTCTCAATTACAATGTCGGAGATGCTTGGGATGGCGTGATCATGGCCGCCTTGAAGAATAAGGCTTGTCTGGTTGAATCTTCACCTTCCACACCTCGCTCGAAGCAGCTCAAGGCAAGACTGGGCTTCACCAGAATCTTCGACTTATACATTTCAGGTCACTCTGATGTTAAGAACAACAGACCTGTCAACAACGAGACTGCTAGAAAGATAGAGTCAAAGAAATCGGAGTTTGACAACTTCTTTGCCTTCCTCAGAAGTGTCGCTGATTTCTTTCCCGTCAACGTGGACCTTATGCCCTCTAGTCAGAAAGCTGCAGCCTTCGATGAGCATGGATCTCCACCAAGCATGCAAAATGGCGAAGCACATGACATTCCATCGGATGTTCCAACAGACGAGGATATGCTTTCTCCTTCTAAGAGACGGAAGCGGCAGATCATCAGAGACGAAGCTGCCCAGAATCTTCGCGACACCGACAAGCGCCGCGTGGAGACGCAAGAGGCTCGGCGCAAAATTCTTCGCGAGAGACTAAAGATTACAGATTCGATGTCCCAGGACGTGACTAGGCTTATCATCAATGAGACCAGGAATGACGAAGAAGGCTTCATTTACATCAACAAGATGATTGCTAGTCGTATCAAGGACCACCAGATTGAAGGGGTGCGTTTCATGTGGGATCGTTTGATCGCTGGCTCTTCTGCCAAGCAGGGCTGTCTCCTAGCCCACACTATGGGGTTGGGTAAAACTATGCAAATCATTACACTCCTTGTTGCAATTGCAGAAGCGGCTGCCTCGCCGGACCCCTCAATCAACTCTCAGATTCCCGAGGAGTTGAAAGAGTCAAAAACTCTCGTCCTATGCCCAGCCGGCTTAGTTGACAACTGGATGGATGAGCTTTTAACGTGGACCCCAGACAAGATGACCCTCGGTGACCTCAGAAAGATTGACAGCAGTCAGAAAGACCCTGAACGCACTGCCAATCTAAGGGCCTGGGCCGAAGAGGGTGGCGTACTGGTTATTGGTTACCCCATGTTCACTAGGCTTGCTAACAAGGACGAATTTCAATCCTTCCTGTTCGATGTTCCGAACATCGTTGTTGGTGACGAAGCACACAAACTTCAGAACCCACATGCTAAAGTCCATAAAGCTGCCAAAGGCTTTCGGACAACATTTCGTATTGCCATGACAGGATCGCCACTCGCCAATAACGTTGAAGAGTACCATTCCATGATCAATTGGGTTGCGCCAAACTACCTCGGACCCCTCAACGAGTTCAAAGCCTTTTATGCTGATCCGATCAGAGACGGGCTGTACGAAGATAGCAGCCCGTCTGAGAGACGAAAAGCGTTCAAGATGCTCAAGGTGTTGAAGCAAACTGTGGCGCCCAAGGTTCACCGTGCAACTATCGCGGCTCTACGGGAAACACTGCCTCCCAAGAGAGAGTTCATTCTCTACCTGAAGTTGACTGAGCGGCAATTCGATGCCTACCTGAGATTTGTCCGTCACCTCAAAGAAAATCCCAAAGCACAGGACAAGGGCAATACACTCTTCCAACTAATCGGTACCCTGAGTCTCCTCTTGGCGCACCCCAAAATCTTCCGTGCAAAGCTCGAGCAAAGGAAAGCGCTGGATAAGGATCAGCAAAAATCGAAGTCAATCGCAAACGTGAAAGAGGATCGTGGTGATCTCCCCGCAGAGGTTCTGACTGTGGAGGTGCTAAGCAATCTCTTGGCGACGCTACCAAAGGAAACGATGGAGGCTATCAATGCTTCTTACAAGATGGCTGTGTTGGTGAAGATCCTTGACCAGGCGAAGCTGATGGGCGAAAAAGTCTTAGTCTTCTCGCAGTATCTGGATACACTGGATTATATTGAGAACCTTTGTCGCGAGCAGAAGCGACTCTACCTCAGATTAGATGGATCAACTGCTCCGAATGTTCGTCTGAGGGACGTCAAGCAATTCAATACAGGGAAAGACGAGGTCTACCTCATCTCAACGCTAGCTGGGGGAGTCGGTCTCAATATACCTGGTGCCAGCCGTGTTGTTATATTCGACTACAAGTTCAATCCGATCGCAGAACAGCAGGCCATAGGCCGTGCATATCGACTCGGCCAGACAAAACCTGTATACGTTTACTGGCTGGTCTTTGATGGAACATTCGAGAGGAATCTCCAAAATCAGGCTATCTTCAAACTGCAACTACAATCCCGGGTGGTGGATCAGAAGAATCCAATTGCACGCGCTCAGAAAGCCAGGGAATACTGTCGTGACCCTGTGAATGTCGTACCGCAGAATCTTGACAGTCACAATGGCATGGACCGAATACTCGATGCAGTCTTAGAAGATGATGCGCTTTCCAGTCACATCACGTCAATTGACATGACGGACACATTTGACGAGGAGGAGCCCGAGGAGCAGCTAACAGCAGAAGATAGCAAGGAGATTGAGAAATTGATCCTTCGTAATCAGCTACGCTGGCAAAACCCGGAAGAGTACAGGCGGCTCGAGCAGCAGGATGGTGCTTTACAACACAACCAATCACTTGTTCCTAGCATCGTACAGCCGACAGGTTTGCCCCTTCTAACTCGCGAACTTACTCCCAGAGCATTGGAGTATCGAAACGGTCAGCCTGCGGCATCAGGATCTCACTCGCCAGGCTTTCAGAACCGAACGCACTCTTCTATATCACCGGAGTCTGGGAATGAAACTCCTTACTTATCACCGCGCGGGATTAATGCGAGTAGACGTCAGGCAGCAATGCCTCTGTCCTCGGCACTCCCACAGGCGTGGTTAGCTGACAGGCCGGCGCCAGATTCCCCAACCCCTGTGGACAGGGCCCGGTCGGCGCAGACGTTACTCACCGAGAACAGTCTCCCGCTAATGGGCACTGGCACGGGCTTCAGAACGCGTGCTGCGCCTCAGATTACCCAGTCATTCATTGACGTTCCGGATTCATTTGCCAGCAAGTTCCGCGACTCACTGGTGTATCGTGGTGAGGGAGTTGCTGACATTGGGGTTCGTCAAGAACGAGCTCGAACGCTGGCCACGGAGGTAGAAGGTATCATTGGAGAGCGACATCCCCAAGGATTACCGATGATGGACGCATGGCGACGTGTGATGGACAAGATTGCGAACTCCGAGATCTTGGCGGCTTTCCTAGCAGGTGAAATTTCACCTGGCGACTTTGTCTTTCTCCAAGTTGATCAATTGCTGGCTCGCCAAAGGCAGAACGCATCGAGAGGCAACCTGGTGGCCACGACAGGGGCCCGTAATGGCAGGGGCGACCCCAATGTATGATGCCACCTTCCCTTGCTCATGAAGAAACCCTTCAACGATCAAGTTGATCGGCCAAACACCAACCCCTCAACTATTATTTACTCAGAAGCATGTCAGTGTCAGGTAACTAACTACTCAACCCCCCAAACACAGCACCTCCAGTCCCATCTACATCGTCCTCAATCCGTGAAAGGCGAACCACGAGGAATTCATGCGGCATCGGACCGGTTGGCGGTAGAGGCCGTCGCTGCTCGTAGGGCAAGTCGGGGACGACCAAACTCGACGACTGGACGACTGCCGAGCTGGGCGCACGAAGCTCTAAGCAAGAAGAACGGCGGTGGTAGCCCAGCGCAACTACCAGATAATCCTCAGAGGTTGGGGGATTCGGCGGACATGCCGCTCACTCTGGATGATTAGAGTAGTTCGAACGGCTTTGGTGGTGACCGTACCGACCCTTTCCTACTCGGTATGGTAAATTTCTTTTGATCACATCTGCACAGGCGTTACGGTACGGAAGTTGGATGGCCATTTGCGTCATAAGATACCCTGATACCCTGACTCTATGTGTTGTTGCTTTGGCTGGCTTCCTGCATTTATGATGAAAGGGTGCGTTTGATGCACAACTGGATGTCTCTGGAGGTGCAACTCAGGAAAGGAAAGTGACGGAAAGGATTCTCATTTGAGACGTGTATGGATATTTGACTATGATGGCACGGAATTGTGGGCATGAAGGTCAATTGTAACTGTTTGTATGAACATAGGAATACAGAGCAGGCACCGAAATGAAGGCTCCTAAGGAGCGTTTTGACAGCTTTGCAATGAATGAGAGAATGCCTCTGAGGAGTGGAGGATGTGGTCTGATATTAGTGTGCATGAATAAGAGGCGGTGGGCGGGTAAGGTGGAACAGAAGCGTATTCATGGCTTCGCATAGTTTAAGAGCCGATTGACCAAGGTAGACCGAAGTAGATTACTCATGACTGTTAGAAACGAGCATACTGTGCCACATCGTCAGTTGTGGTTGGAGACTGCAATGGAAGACAGAATGCCACGATGAGATGAGGGTATCCAATACTTTATAGAACTATGCATTACTGTACTCGTACGATGTTGCCTGTACTGATTGCGGCTGGATTTACGGCAGTTAAGTCTTCGGGGATCCAGGTGGTGTATTGCGGTGCTTGAAGCCAATCAGAATAAGAAGAGAAGTGATTACCCTCTCGGACAGGGCAGGTCTGACTGCAGTGGCCGACCCCTCTATCGCATCCATTTGGGAGTCAAGAGGCGAGCCAGGATGCCCCAGACCGATACAAGGTGGGGCAAAAAGGGTCTATTCTGGTTTCAATTGTATTCATACATACCGAACGCCGACCGACACTTTTAGTCTCGGGCTCTGCTTCTGTAGGTTTCTGTGTGGTAAGAAAAAAAAGAAAAAAAAACCAAGAGCCGGCTGGACAGGACATTAGGTACATAGCTTACAGTAGTTAGTTATTGCTACTACTGCTGCGGAGAGCGGAGCGCAGTCTAAAACTGGACTAAAGAGGAATAAAGAGTCAATTCACCCGATCTTGTCTCGTCCCTCTCAAAACTCACTCCTCTTTCTCAGCCAGCCATAACAACCCTCCCAGCCCGGACCAATTGTTTCGGCACCAACAATTTCTTCCGCTTCCATCTCACATCTGTCTGCACTGAGATAGCCTCCCTCATCATCCTGTGTATCTGTTGATTGTTCTCATCCAGTCTTCCTTACCTGTCGCATCGGATCAAGTCTTGCTTGCTCTTGTTGATTGTCATCTGAGTCGCCACCATGGATGCTGTTCTCCGGCAGTCCAAGGCCATGTGCCCCTTCTTGAAGAAGGCCTCACCAGCCACTCTGCGTGCCCTGTCGACCTCGACCCGGCCCCAGGTATCCCCCTGTGGCGGCACCATCTCGAAGCTGCAGCTGCTTGCCCATCGCTGCCCAGTCATGGGCAAGGCGATGGCTGTACAGTCTGCCAAAGTCGGTCGCGCTGGGATGGGCGGCGCTGCTGCTGTTGCTGGTCTGTCCACTTACTCCGGCCACGCAAAGGCTGGCAAAGCGAAGCTGCATACCACCCGAGCCCACGATGCCAGGGCTGTTGAGAGCCCATTGTTCAATCCTCGGGAGAAAGGTGTGTGATCAATCCATCAATTGAGACATTATGGCCTGTGCTGACCCCTCTCCCCCCAGCACCCCTCCCACCAAGCATGGCTTCTCGCCAGTCCGCCGCATCTCCTACTCATCAGCCGGGCAATCCACTCAAGAATGATGCCAAGTTCGACTACGAGGCCTTCTACAATGCTGAGCTAGACAAGAAACATAAGGACAAGTCCTACCGTTACTTCAACAACATCAATCGCCTCGCTAAGGAATTTCCTCGTGCGCATATGGCAAGCAAGGAGGAACGGGTGACCGTGTGGTGCGCAAACGACTATCTTGGTATGGGAAGAAACCCTCAAGTCCTGAAGGCTATGCATGAAACGCTGGATGAATACGGTGCTGGTGCGGGTGGAACGAGAAACATCTCCGGCCACAACAAACATGCAGTCGACCTTGAGACGACCATCTCGAAGCTGCACTCGAAGGAGGCGGCACTGGTCTTCAGCTCTTGCTACGTGGCCAATGATGCTACTCTGGCTACTCTTGGTAGCAAAATGCCCGAGTGTGTCATCCTATCCGACAGTCTAAACCACGCCTCTATGATTCAGGGCATCCGGCACTCTGGGACGAAGAAGATTGTTTTCAAGCACAACGACCTGGCCGATTTAGAGGCGAAGCTGGCCTCCTTGCCACTCCATGTTCCCAAGATCATTGCTTTCGAGTCAGTGTACAGTATGTGTGGCTCAATTGGCCCCATTGAAGCCATATGCGATCTCGCCGACAAGTATGGCGCAATCACTTTCCTAGACGAAGTCCATGCAGTGGGCATGTACGGCCCGCATGGTGCTGGTGTCGCCGAGCACCTCGACTTTGAAGCTCATAAGCAAGGCAAGCCTCTGGGCACCATCATGGATCGAATTGATATCATCACAGGCACGCTTGGAAAAGCATATGGCTGCGTGGGAGGATACATTGCGGGCAGTGCGAAGCTGGTTGATATGATCCGATCCCTGGCACCGGGTTTCATCTTCACCACGTCTCTCCCCCCCGCAACAATGGCAGGCGCAAAGGCCGCCATCGAATACCAAATGGGTTACAATGGCGATCGACGACTTCAGCAGCTTCATACGCGAGCTGTCAAGGAGGCACTCAATGATCGCGATATACCTGTGATCCCGAACCCGTCACACATCATCCCCATTCTTGTCGGTAACGCCGAGGTTGCCAAGCAAGCTTCAGATATGCTGCTACAAAAGTATCAGATTTACGTCCAGTCGATCAACTACCCGACTGTGCCGGTAGGCCAAGAGCGCCTCCGCATTACACCCACCCCGGGCCATACAAAGGAATTCCGAGATCACCTTGTTGAGGCTGTAGATGCCATCTGGAACGAGTTGGGCATCAAGCGCACCTCTGAGTGGGCAGCTGAGGGTGGATTTATCGGAGTTGGTGAGCCCGGTGTTGGTGCCGAGGCCCCGTTGTGGACGGATGCGCAGCTTGGAATCGAGCAGGCTACGCAGGAGATCAAGGCCGCCGGCGAAGTGCGCCCCAGCAGTGTCATGGAGACTTTGCTCGAGCGCGAGATGAAGAACGCCTCCAATGCCGTGAGCGCCGCCGCTTGAGTTTTTGTTTGCGCGCGATTGTTTTGCTGAAAAGCGCATCGTTGCCAACCAACTTTCATCAGGGGAGCTCATCGGACCAGAGACCACGTTCTTTCGGGCGGGCAACGATTGCGAGCAAAGGAAACAAACAAGGCCGAGGAAGATCGCCTGCTTGACTTGATCCGATCGAGTATTTTTGAATTTGACTTCGCTTCGTACCAACACTCCATGACATCTGCCCTATCTAGAACCTAGATAGAAGAGTCTCGATTTGAAACCAAAATAAATGTATGGCCATCGCCCGATTGGGCGAGTAGTACTGCCACAACAACTCGTGTTTAGCTCTTCTTCTTTGCGCCGCTATGTGACAGCTTTGATATGCAACTAGGGACCTGATGACATAGCTCTGCTCTTGCCGGACCCCCTTCCCGCGGTGACAGGTGCGCCAGCACTGGTCGAGTTGCCTGATTGGGAAAGTATGAGGCCATTCATTCGCCCCAATCACGTTACCTCACAAGGCTGATGCAACCTTCGCGCGAAGTACCGACGCGGCTAACCGCATGTCATGTACTATGGTATAACGGTAGGTAATGGCTGTGGGCCGGCTGGTTAGACCAAGTAAGTTGGTCTACGCGATATGTAAATCGTTGCAGAATATCAGCTACCTGAGGGAGGCTCCAAACGAAACAATATGAGAGGACCTGGATAAGCCAAGACAGCAATCAAATATAGACCAGAGCAGAGACCTTCTTTATTGTGAATTTACGAGTAAAAGGAGAGAAGGAAAGGAGGAATGGACATTACAAGATCAAACGTGAATCGAGCGGGTAAGGCAATGTGTGAGAGTTGAAGTTTTAACGGTTACGGGTCGGGAGATATCAAACCGTAGTGATGAGCTTGCTACGCAGGTAGTCTACGACGACATGAATCTCAAACTAATTGGTACTATCACATGTCCCACGAAAACAGCTCAACGAGAAACCTGGAATTCTACTGCAAAATAATGCACTTTGCCGCCTTCTTCTGAGATCCTCTTATATTATTAAGGAGAGGTCTAACCTAGTAGTTGTTGAGTTTGAGGCAGATTCGTTGACACAATAAGCCACAGAAAACTCGCTAACAAGTTAACGTTGTGACTACTGAGCAAACCCTGCTTGTCAGAGAGCGTGCACGGACCAGATTGTGGCTCTTGCCCGCTCGGACGTCTCGGGTGGCTGCTGCAAGCCACGCCAGTCTCGAACGGAGTCGGCCTGATTCTCCTGCTCCGTTCCCACCGGGACGAACGGGCTGCTATATATGAACAGCAGGCAAGTGCTTCGCCAGGCGTCTCAATGGGAAAATGACAACTTGTCTCTGTTTTGTGAGCTCAAATTACATGAGGTTGCGAATCGCTTTCTTTTCCTAACTTGGCGCTGCCAAAAGTGCCAAATCTCGTTGAGTGCCTGCTCGTAGCAGCAACAGCGCCGAAAAGTGGTGTAGATGATGGATCATGAACCCCTGTCAAAGCATCTAAAGGGGCCTCGCGCCTGCGCAACATGCGCCAAAGCCAAGTCGCGCTGCATCGCCGGCCCGGTGGACGGAATCTGCGAACGGTAAGCATTACAGTCGCCGGCTCCGGCGTGCTACAAGCTGTCCTTCTCCGGGGTTGTGATTCTAGGGAATATCATCGACTAACAATAACCCCTTAGATGCCATCGCCTAAATAAGCCATGCTCCTCTCAGGTCCCAGCACCACCAAGAAAGCGGAAAGATCCAAGGCCGACGAGGGTTGCAGAGCTGGAGCGGAGGCTCGAGGACCTAACGGCTCGGATTGAGAGTTCGCAGACCACCCTGCCCCCGACTCCGTCCGACTCGGGGGCAAGTGGAGGCGCCGCACGCCCAAATCCGCCAATGCGGTCTGCAAAGACTATTCCCTTTGATCATCTGTTTCCGAATGATATGGTTGAGAAGCTCAGCGAACCGCAGAAGACGGTCCGGCGCGACTTCTCCGAATGCAGACTACGGCCACTCTCCCCAGACATTTCACCGGCCTCCGATGCATGCCCCTTGCAGGAGGGGAGCGGCTGGGATGCGCAATGGCCCGCTGGTGCGAGATCGCGAGAAGATCGGCTGCGGGCCGAGCTATCATGGGATCCATGGTGGCCTCGAGGAGAGGAGGCGGAGATGATGCTTGAGGACTACAAGACATATATGGCTCCTCTATTCCCCTTTGTGGTGGTTCCTCCTCATATGACTTCAGACCAGCTTCGTAAGGAGCGTCCTTTTCTGTGGAAAGGAGTCATCATGCAGGCCTGCCATCTCGATTGTGCACGTCAGATCGCCTTGGGCCAGGAATTATTGAGCGATATTGCCCAAGCTTCTCTGACTAAGCCTCAAAAAAGTCTCGATCTACTGCAAGGGCTCGAGATATTGATCGCATGGTCAGTCACGATGTTTCCACATTCAAAAAAAAAAAGCTAAACGTATACATTTAAGGTATCACTATAATTTGCACAGTTTCCAGTTGACGAACTTGCTCTTCCTCGCAAGGTCCATCTGTGTATCGCTTGGTTTCAATGAATCCCAGGACGGCACAAAAATGCAGGAGCACACCTCATCTTGCTTGGAACAGATGAGAGCATTTGCAGGCTGCTATTACCTGGTCACTCTGGTCTTCACGACGAATAAGAAGCCTGATGCATTCATGAATACATCATATCTCGAGGCATGTTGCCGCGTCATTGGAAGCAAGATGGAGTGTGCAACGGATGAACTCCTCATCTACCTTGTGAAGATTCAACAACTAGCTCAGTCCATATCTATGACGCTGGCTTTCCGAAACAACTCGAGCTTACAGGTGGATCTGCCAGTCACCATCATTATCAAGAGTTTTCAGCAACAGCTCGAGGCGTTCAAGAACTCTGTACCCATGAGTCTTGCAGATAACTCATCCATTATGGCTCATTTCCATATTGCCGAGATGCTTTTGTATGAGATCGGCGTTCAAGATGTGCAGGCCACCGCCTCTCTACCAGCGACCGATCGCCTTGAGCTGCTATGGTCATGTCTCAATGCCACAAAGACATTTCTAAACATCCGCTTCTCAGAACCATTATCTGAGCACCCGAGATTTATATGCATGGCTTCTTTTGACTTTGTCTACTCCCTCATCCTCTGCCTGAAGCTCATGACTCTCAACTCTCCAGGCTGGGACCTGAATACGGTTCGGAAACAGCTCTCTTTCGATGAGTTGGTAACCAGGCAGGCTAGCGATCTGAGAATGCTAGCGGAGAGGAGGAGCAGGGGTAGGGGCACGGTGGGCGCCGCACTGGCAGACCCTTTCCTACGACTTGCCACTAGACTGGAGCAATTCAACGAGGTTCTGCGCATGGAGCTTGGCAGCGCGCCGCAGATGTCAGAAATGACTCCGGTCGAGGCCCTGGCGCAGACGAGCCAAGACTTTGTTCAGGACTTGGACTCAAGTTTCTGGCAGGCCATGTTCACCATGAACCCCTCGGAAAACTTGCAGACTACCGCCGATGCGCCGTGGCCATACTGCTGAACAACTGGTCCAGCCTGAAGGAACCGGAAAAATTCGCTCGCAGCTTTCCTGGCCCCGGGAGCTGTGTGCATTGGTGTGTGACAACAACTTTCAGCTTCGGCAATGGACACTAATATAGAACGCCGGGAATTTGGGGATTTGGGCAACACCCACAACGGACCCTTGCCGAACCACGTTATGATCTACGATTAAAGCTTAATGCTCTACGGATGCTTCGTTGCGGAGATTTTTCTGATGGATAAATATGGCGAGAGGGTGACGGCTGTGCGTTTGGCCACATTTAACCGTCCCCGAGCATACAGTCCATTACCACGTACCCCACGGCCAAGAACTTTGACGGCTCAAGGGAAGAAGCTTGATAAAAGCTTCATTTTGAGGTATACGAAGTCAAGGAGAATAAGGAAGCCGGCAAAATATGTTTAGAGTCTCTCTCCTTGTCAGACTTGGCGTCAGTTGGCGTAGGTCGACGAATGGTCCACGGCACCTAAGAGCCGCAGGAGCTTATGACTCCAAAGACAGAGGTTCACAACCTAAGTAAGGAAATCAGGTGTTATAGTGCCGGGATGGGGGAATTAATTTCTCGAAATGGGTTCCCATGGGTTGCTAAAGGGTCTGGGGTGTGGGCATATTATAAAGGTATGAACGTTATCAAAGGCATGTGTATAAGAAAGAGATAATCTCGGCTCAAGCCCACCATCTCAATCGCAACTAAACAATTGAATAATATACAAGATCATCATGCTGTCTAGCAAAGCCATTGTCGTCTCGCTCCTAGCAGCAGGAGCGCAAGCCGCTGGGCTGGCTCCTCGCCAAGCGGGAAGCACCATCACCGTTGACTTGACCAAGACATATCAGACCATGGACGGCTTCGGCTTCTCGACGGCTTTCCAGCGTGCCAATCTCATCACTAATATGTCCGATAAGTCGAAGCAGAGACAGCTGCTGGATCTTCTATTCAACACAACTTCCGGGGCAGGTTTCACCATCATCCGGACGGGAATTGGCTCGAGCCCGGACAGCAGATCCGACCACATGAACACATTCGCCCCAACAAATCCCGGTGGTCCGAACGCAGCTCCAAAGTACCAGTGGGATGGAAAGGATAGCGGGCAGTTGTGGGTTGCGCAGGAGGCGGTGAAGACATATGGTGTCAAGACCTTTTATGCGGATGCGTGGAGTGCGCCAGGTGCGTAGGAGACTGGACTCGAGATCAAGCCTTGCTTTCAGCGCAACTACTTATTCTTGTGTAGGTTATATGAAGACCAACAACAATGAGAACAACGGCGGAACTCTCTGCGGCGTGCCGGGTGCCACTTGCTCGAGCGGCGACTGGAGGCAGGCTTATGCTAACTACCTCCTCGCCTATGTTGACTTCTACGCGCAAGCAGGCGTCAATATCAGCCAGTGAGCATCTTTTCAACGATGCCTTAATTTTAAAGACTGACGTTTGGATTAGTTTGGGATTCTTGAACGAGCCAGAATTTGCGTAAGACAGCTTTCCCACGCGTACTCAAGACTCTTACCCCTGAAAGCTGACTGAATTCTATGAACAGTGCAAGCTATGCATCTATGTCATCGAACGGGAACCAAGCGGCCGACTTCATCAAAATCCTCTCAGAAACTATCAAAAACAGCAGCTACGCCGATCAGGTCGGCATAGCGTGCTGCGACTCCGAAGGCTGGGGCAATCAAGTGAATATGGTCAACAACATTAAATCAGCGGGCGCAGAGAGCATGCTAAAAGCGGTGACCTCCCACACGTACACCGGCGGCGCATCAGGGACGATGAACACCAAGGTTCCAGTCTGGTTATCGGAGCAATGTGACCTAAATGGCGGCTGGACGACCTCGTGGTACTCGAACGGCGGTGCCGGCGAGGGGCTGACATGGGCAAACAATATCTACAACGCTGTCGTCAACAACGGCATCTCCGGCTATCTTTACTGGGAAGGTGTCCAGTGGCCGAACCCCAACACAAATGAGAAGATCATCAAGGTGGATAACTCGACGAATACGTACGAGGTTGCCCGCCGGCTGTGGGCCTTCGCCAACTGGTCGCGGTATGTCCGCCCAGGGGCGGTCCGTGTAGGTAGTTCTGGTGGGAGCGGCGTCAAGTCAGCAGCTTTTAAGAACACCGATGGCACTGTAGCTGTCGTGGTGATCAGCACAGGCGGTTCGGCATCGACTGTGAATGTCAAGGTCACTGGCGCGACGCCGACAGATGTGGCGGCATATGTTAGCGATGGAAGCCACAACTGTGAAAAAACGACAGTGACGGTCGGCAGCGATGGTAGCATCGCAGGAAGTGTACCCGCGCGGGCGATTGTTACGTTTGTCATACCACCGGCGGCGAGCAGTGATTAACTAAATTTCTCCAAGTGACTAGCCAGAATTTCATGAAAAGGGATAACTGTAGTTAACAGATGATTTGTCATTTGATATTCAGCTATCCTTGACGTGCTGTCTATTCGATGTTTCCGTTTCCGGCACTGGCCCTTCAATAGTCTGATTCTGATTCATCATTGACATTTCTTCGGGGCCAGCTTTCTTTTCGATTTCTTCAGGGTGTTCGAGACCGCGATCTTTGATCAATAGGCACCCAAGGAGGCATATTCCCATAAGAGGAACTGCAAGGATAAATACTGCTCGGCTCCCAGCCATGTAGGCGTCAAGCACTCGAGATTTGTCGGCAGGCGACAAGTTGGATGGGAATGAATATGACTGATTAGCCAGATGTTTGAACGCCGGTGGGAGGTTCCTCTTCAGAGCAGCCTGTAGAACGGCAGCTGAAACGGCGAGTCCGACTGCTCCGCCGGCGCATCGAAAGAAGTTCCGGTTGGATGTGATGACGGCTCGTCTTGACTTAGGAGAATGTGCAATCAGCGCGATGAGTGTTGGTTGAATGATACAGCCAACTCCAACACCGATTATCATGAGCGTTACAATAACGACGCCGAGATTTGTCTCTCTTTTCCACAATAGAGTCAACCCAGCACCAAGAGTCCACAACCCAAATCCCAGCCAGATGACTTCTCCGTATCTCTTACGCCGAGAAATATATTGTCCTGAAAGAACAGAACCCATTGACTGAGCAACGGTAAGAGATGAATAGATAGCTGCGGAAACGATGGCCCGGTATTGTCGAGCGTTTTGAAGATACAGAGGAATGTAATACAGATAAGACTGATAAACAGCACCGAAGAGGAAGTTCTGCACCAGCATCACAACAATAACAGGGTTGGCGAAGAGTTGTGCTAACGCAGACATGTGAGAAAAGTGGACTTGCAACATGAGGATACTTCACTTACTTGGCATCATAGGGAGTTTGGCCACTTTCCATTCAATTACAATGAATAGGAGCAGAAAGAAGCTACCAATAGCCAAAAAGGCAATCACCGTGGGTGAGTCCCAAGAAAAATAAGAACCACCACCTGAGATGGGAATGAGTAGAAAGATGACAGCCGTTGAGGAAGCGAACACTCCAGCATAGTCAATCTTAGCCAGGCCTTCTCTAAATCGAGTCACGGGTGGCTTGGTTGGCAGAAGCCAAAAAGCTGTAGTCCAGGCCAGGAACCCCAACGGTGCCAAAGTATAGAAGAATCCGCGCCATGTGCCTCTCTGCACGAAGCCCGCGGCGAGAAAGGGACCGATCAGGTTGCCTATTCCGACCATTGCTCCTATAATTCCCTGGTACTTTCCGCGTTGCTCCAGAGTTACAATGTCAGACACAATGATCTGGGTTAGATTCGCAATCCCACCACCTCCTATTCCAGCAATACCGCGAAACACATAGAGCATGCTAGCACTGTGGGAAAGTCCACATAGCAAATCCGCAACAACAAGAAGGCCCACGGCGGCAAGATAGACGACTTTCCGGCCGAAAATGTCGGACAGCCGACCGTAGAGCATCTGAAAAGATGTGTTGGCTATCAGAGAGGTAGTGCCAGCCCAAGAGATGGTATTCTGAGCGTGCAAATCGGCAGCGATAGTGGGAAGAGCGACACTGACACCATTCTGGTCAATGAAGTTGATGAGGAGCGTTACAGAAAGCGCAGTGAAAGCAAAGATTAGCTGTGTTCCGGATAGAATGTTTGTCTGGTCATGAAGCGCCCGTTCGGCTTTCGCTTGGCGCTCGCGTGCCCCCATGTCAAGAGATCGCACTGAGGTGGAAGCCTCAATGGTCAATTAGACTTATACAAGATGCCAAGAAATAGTGATGCATGGCGGCCAGGAACATGCGGGTTCAAGGTTCTGTTTTTGTGAGAAGCTTCAGTAGGGCGGTTATCGCATCGGGGTTCCAAGTGGATACTGCTTGCTTAGCTTCTCCTCTAGCCATTCTTTCCTTCTTGTCGATCGGATGTAAACTTCCGATGCCATCAGACAACAGGGCCAGACAAGAACGGTAAAGCATGTCAATGAATGCCTCAATTGGCCTAGACACCCCAGGGACCGGTTGACGCCGTTGTACACCTCTGCCGGGGTAAT